TGTTGGGTGTCCCTGAGCACCTCCTCAGGGGAATCTGTGCTTTCTATCTCACAGGTGGAGCTGCTCATTCCTCTCTCAAAGACCTTTTCTATCCCAGAACCTTCTTCCTCCTCAGCCTGATGTCCAGCCTGGGGTTTCTTTTCACGTGCAGCTTTTTTCAAGTCGATAATGAAGCTGTCACTCTGGGAGTCTGTGGTCTCCAGACTTTCCCCATTCTCCCACACATGTGTTTCCTGCACTTCTCTTTGGCAATCTGCTGTGGACTCCACCAGAAAACTATGAATTTGTCCCTCAGGTGAATCATCCCCACAGACACTCACCTCTGACTCATGAATTTCTTTAGCAGAAGATCCCTCTTCGGCAGATATCATGATGCTGCCAAGGTCCCCTTTAGGGATTTGCAGATCAGCCCTTCTGATTTTTCTTGACTGTGCCTCTTCTTGGGCACTGACCTCCTCCTGCTTCATCCTGTAGCTCTGACGCAGCTCCTCACTCAGAGACACTTCTTCCACAAGCACATCATGTTGGTGCACAGCGGGGATGAGCCCGGTCACTCCTACCTCCACACTCTCCAGAGCTGTGGGGGTTTGTGCCTGTTGTGTGTCCACAGTCTCTGCAGCTGGGAAAGGCTCCACAAATTTCTTCAGATCAAATGTGATATTGGTCTTATCAGTCTCAGATGGCAACAGCTGCTCTTTGAAATACACTTCTTTTAGGTGAACCTCAACTTCCTCAGTGAAATCCTGACCTGAGTTTTCTATGCCAGGAGTGAAGATTAGATCCAAAGAAGAGTTGCCTGCATCAGACTCTGTTTCTTGCAGCATTTGTCCATCATTGTGCATTTCCCAGGGTACAGCATCCCCAGCATCAATCATTTCTTCTTTACAAAGATGATCATCAACCTCAATGTCCTGTTCAATATCAGCTGATCTCTCTTGCTCCTTGGCCTGTTCCTCCTGCTGCTCTTCTGTACAGAAGTCATAAAAGCCAAATTGCTCCTTTGTGGGTGTACTTGCAATGTTGTCCTGCAGGTGGGGCACACTTGGCTCTTCTACAAGAGGGACATCAGGATACATTGCCTCCCAGGCAGGGGCATCGCTCTCCTCCATGTAAACACCACTCCCCTCTTGCACCACAGGTGATATAGGAATGAAAAATTGTGAATCCTCACACTCCCTTGCCAGAGCAGACTGCTCAGAGGCATGTGTTTGCCCTTTCACTTCCATAAATGGTGACTTCAAGACATCCCAGGACAGAGTATCTTTATGTGGTACCACCATGTCTCCTTCAGCCTCCAGCTCCTCTGAAAAGTGACCTGAGTCCTTGGCCACCAGTTCATGCTCCTCCCTGGACATGCTGGGGTGCAGCTCAGCAGCATCAATTCCAAAGCTATGTTCCTCGGAGACAGCTTTTCCCCTGTGCTGCCTCATCTCAGAAATACCATCTGTATCCCTCACACTTTCTTCTGTATAACCCGCTTCTTGCCTTGCATAAACTTCCATGATATCCAGCACCATTGTTTCCTCCACCTCACTTTCCCTAAAGTGAGGAGTTTTCTCACACTCCTTTTCCAACTGCTCATCAGGAGATGGAGACAGTCTCAGGAACGAGGGTAGGTGGGCTTCCTCTTCCTTGGAGCATGTGATCTGTTCCTCTTCGTCCTTCCCAAGTGTGCTGAGGCCTTGGAGGTGCAGAACATGGTCCATAGCAGGCAGTTCCTCAGTGCCTCCATCCTTGCTATACAACCTGGGTGCACTGGGCTGCACTGTCAGCTCAGAGGCAGTCTGCGCTGTTCCAGCCACATTCTTGGCCACACAACAATACAGCCCAGCATCTGCAACAGAGACCCCTTGGATGTGTAGGCAGTACCTGCCATTCTTGCCTTCCTCAAACCTCAGCTTCTCGCTGGCAGAGAGGCTCTGGCCATTCAGGGACCAAACCACAGCTGGTGGGGGCTGCCCAGACACAGCACACTCCAACACCACTGCCTCCCCTTCATGGCAATGAATGTGTGCTGGGGCTTCTGCCACAATTTGGGGTGGCTCATTTCCCATGTCAAAAGAAAACTTGAACTTGTGCTTTATGGTGGGAGCAGCCTGGTCTGGAAAGTGCCCCATGGTCTCTCTCATCTCTGTGTCTTGCTCTGGCGTTGGGGTGGGGGCAGTGATTTTGATTTCCACAGGCAGTGACAGCAAGTCTGAGTCTGGAACTGCACTTGGCAGTCCCTGCTCTGCTGCGAAGGCCAGGCCGACTTCTTCTTCTACCTCCTTCTCCTCCTCCTCCTCCACCTTCTCCTCCTCCTTCTCCTCCTCCTCCTTCTTTTCTTTCTCACCCCATTCTTCCTCCTTCACCTTCTCCTTCTCCTCCTCTTCTTTCTTCCCTTCCTCTTCCTCTTCCTCCTCCTTCTTCATGGCCTCATAGGCTGGCATCCTCCGTCTCACATGGAGTGCAGCTGAGGTGCTGACTGTGCCCAGCGGGTTGAAGATCACGCAGGTAACGGTGCCACCATGCTGTGGGAGCAGGGATGGGAAGGTCAGTGTAGAGTGGCACTCCGTGGTATGAACAGCGGTGCCCCGGATGCGCCCCACGGGCTTGGTGTTGTTGTACCAAGTGACTGTGGGCTGTGGGCGTCCATGGAAGAGGCAGGAGAAGGTGCATCTGTGCCCCTCAACAGCCTCCTGGGGCTTGACCTCCTGGACAAAGAGGGGTGGGCAGGGGTCCAGGAGCCCACCTGGCATCTGCCATTTCTTCCCTGCGGCCTTGGGCCTGTGGTACCCCGTCACTACCTGCACCGCGAGGGGCGCCGAGCCTTCTGTCGTGGCAGCCATCTCAGGTGGACTGGGCTTCCCAGGAGGGTCCCCCTGGGGCATGGACATGAGGGATTCTTGCTTCTTTTTCAGCGCTGCCTTCTTTGCCTCCCGCAGCCGCTGCAGCTTCCAACGGATCTCCTCATCCAGCAGCTCCTCAGCATCCACCACTGTGCCACTGTGCTCCCTGCCACATGCCAGCCCTGGACGGTGAGGCCCCACCAGTGGCAGCCTCTGGAAACGGATGGTTCGTACCATGCCCCGGGCTGGGGACAGGTCCCCGAGCAACTGCTCGGCCTCCTGTCCCTTGTCAAAGGGCGAGCCAGTACAGCGGAGTACAACCCGCAGCCTGTCCTCCCGCCGCTGCTGCAGCAGGCACTCCCAGCTCTCCCGCATCCACTCTGCTTTCCCTGTGAAACCCAAGCCCTGCTGCTCCCCACTGCGTGCCACTAGCAGCGAGGCAGTGGACTCAGCTGAGCCCTCACTGTTAATGGCAAATACCCTGTAGCTGCCAGCATCGTGCTCCCGCACATCCCGCACCTCCAGGCTGGTGTGGTGCATGTGCTCCTCACTCTCGGTGCGGATCACCTTGCGGCAGTCCTGGTGGATCGGCCGGTTATTGTGAAACCAGGCCATGTGGGGCGCCGGGCATGCCACCAGCTTGCACTGGAAGAGTGCAGGGTCCCCCTCCAAGACAGACCTACACTTGAGGCCCTGTGTAAAGGTAGGTTTACGGTTCTGGGTGCAAGCCAGCACCGCCACTGTCCCAGGTCCCTCGAGGTTTGCCTTGCTGTGCTGCTCTGCAAGAGAAGGAGATTGGGTTACAACATGCCACACTCTGCCTGCCATCTGGTTGAAAAAAAATGAAATAGCAATATATTGAAATAAAAAATGGGCATGCAACAGGTTTCATCACACACCCAGGAAAAAAAAGTAATTCACTCACCATATTTGTTCGAATAAACGCAACGCCTTGCTCTGTTTTAAAGATTGACACGAAAATCGTTCGTTGTCTGTTCTTTCTTCAGACTGTGGAAATTTCTTCTTGAACAAGCAAAAATTAATTTCAAAATAACACGTTCTTCTGCGTGTATGTTTTTGCTGCCTGGAAAAGCTGTGTGTCTTTGGGTGGCAAAGAAGAAAATCTTACCTGACTTGCAGACAGTAGAATAAACGCCCTTTCTGACCCTTCTGTTTGTAGATTAGATGTTCAAACAATTGAGAAAAAATATTTTGAAAGATATTAAAAAAAAGTAAGTAATTAGCTAACATGAAATGAGAAGGCGTTTATTCGAACTAATACAGCCACTAACTTCACAGTGTTATGCACAGGGAAAAAAGCAAGCAACATGAACCACGTATGCTATCTGCAAGCCAGGGTAAGAAATGTATAAAGATGAATTAATGTATGTAAAAGAAGTGCAAGGAGTCAATGTGTAGCTTTCATATATCCTAAAAAACAAATGCTTTCTAGTATACTTCATCCATCCATCCAATAGTGTCCATTGAACTGATTAATGTTAGGTTGCTAACTTGTTTAAAAATAATATGATTAAGATTTGTATAACTTCCTTCTGAAGTAAACTATTCCATGCATTCAAAAGGAAATTGAACAAATAAAAGCTCTGTGAACAGCTGCAAAGCATGAAGTAAAAGTTAAGAATATGGCTGCAAAATTATAATTTTGAAGTTTTAAACATATTTTAAAACTTAAATAACCTTATAATGCAGGTAACCCTTTGCATATCAAAACAAACATGCAACATGTTCCAATATGCTTTAAAGTGTGTCTTTCTTTCCCCATCAGACACTACATGTAAGCAGATAAAAGCTTTTCACAATGTTACTAATTACTGGTACTAATTATTCAGTGTAACATCATTGGTGACTGTACCTTTCACTTCCATTTCAATCTCTTCCTCTAGCTTCTCATGAATAATTTTTTCAGGAGCTAGAATAAAAAGACAAAGATTTTTGAGCTATAGTTGCTAAATATGCCAATCAACACTTTATGTAGTTAAAACATCCAATCTCTCTTGCAAGTATACAGAAATTCACACATACATACACATAAATGCATGCCAAACAATTCAAACACTTGATAAATAGAACAGAGCAACCAAATGCTTTCAAACTTGTTTGCAATGTACACTTTTCTATAAGATTTGCTTTCTTTTTTGCAGGGTGGGGGAAAGTTTCTAAGGTAACATGCCTTTATCATGCCTTAAATCCCTGAAGAAAACATTCAACAATCCACAGACTAATGAGATGCTTCTCATTCTTTATCATCTCCCAGAGAATGAATGTACTAGAATGCAATGATTCTATGCATGAGGAATTGATACTTGGAAGGAACATGCAGTTGCCAACCTGTCACTCTCAGATGGGTGCTGCACTCGGCTTGTCCTGCGGGATTAACTATTCTGCACTTGTATATACCCTTGTGGTTCTGACCAACTTTCAACAATCTTAAACTGCACAGTGGCCCATCATGTTTTAAGGAACACAATGCAGACTCCTCAACTATTAGCTGATTGCACAGCCAGACCACGCAAGGTGTGGGCACACCCTTCATTATACAAAAGAGTAACACATCATCTCCTTCTTTTACAGTGGTTTCTGAGGGCAGAGTTTCAAGAAACTCTGGTGCTTCAGCATCAGTTTCTGTAATGTCTTCACATGGCACAACATCAGGATAGTAGACTTTGTTTCTTTGCTTCTCGGTTTCATGCGGTCTTTGGGATGTAGATATAAACAAGCTTGATGTTTTCTTGGAAGATTCTTGCTTAACTTCAGGTGCTTTAAACTGACAATCTTTGGCTGCTTTAAAGCTTTTAGTATCTGATTCAAGGGTAATTTTTGTTATTGCTTTGGCTTGTGCTTCTTTTGCTAGGTAAGAATAAAGTTAGGAAAATGATTAGGTCAGATGTTTTGCAGGAATAAAAAATATCCTTATACTTAGGGGGGGAAAAAACAATAATTAAATGTATTGAAAGAATGTCCAGCATATTAGTGCTACAACAATGCTATTAAACATGAGTGATTACACATTTAAGAGCTCTATTCCTTCTGGGCTAATTCTAGGTACCAGTTAAGCCTATGGGACTTTCATGGGATGAAGAGTTGGTCTGTAATGCCTAATACAAGCACATCTTTACTTTTAATTGAGAGCCTCAATTTAGAAAGTAGCAGCAGAAGATTATGTAAAGCGCTTTGCGCAGCTCAAGAGTGAAGAAAGAAACTTCAATATGTAAGAGCCAAATCAATAGGATCAATGGCTTCCTTATTATCCATCTTAGTTTTCTGCTCTTGATTCCTTTGAGCTCAGCAGAAGAAATACTATCACTTGTCCCGTGTGGTGATAATACATTTTTGGGTCTTCACTAGTGGTAACACTACTAACATTTTAATACGCTGATGTCAGGAAGAAGTGGAAGGAGTCTTAGCAAAAATAAATACTTATACCTCAGGGAGAGTGAAGGGTGGAAGAAAATTCATTAGTGCAGTAATACAATACTTGCACCCATTAATCCTTTCAAGTACATTGACCTATATTGCCAACCTTGGAATTGGAACCTTGGATTTACTGGAAACAAGTTAGACCCATAGAGTTTGAAATGACCAGGTATCTAGTTCAACATTGCTTATCTGACATTCTTATCTTCCTTAAACTCCAGCTTCAGGAATTCTCAAAATGTAAAAATTCCTACCAGCCTGTTTTGCTTTACATCTCACTGCATATCATGAAGGATATGAGGAATAAAAAACCTCAGACATCTGTGACTTACTGGGAAGAGGCATGAAGTTACAATACCAACTTCCCAGTACAGCACATATCACTTATGAATAGAGCTGTAAATGTGGAGGAAAAACCCCAAAGCATTATTACTAGAGCTTTCTCAATTAAATACTGATAATAAAGGAAATACGAGTGAGCTGTAGGCAGTGATAATGAAGTTGCAAAAGGTAAGTCATAATGTTAAAAGTCAGATAACCACCTTTAACTGTTAGTATTGCAGCAGTTGTTGTCCCTCCGTAGTCATTATATACAGTACAACTGTACAGTCCTTGATCTGCCAGCTGGGCATTTAGGATTGTGAGCAGTAGGACGCTTCCATTTTGTGATACCTTTAATTTTTCAGACAATTCTATCCTTTCACCTTTGTGGGCCCAAAGAAACTCGGAGAAGAATTCATTTTCTAAGCCACATATGAACTGAGCTGTGTCACCACATTTCACAGTTAGGTCTCTGAGCTGCAAGAGAATCTTTGGAGGGACATCTTTCATGTTCCGAGCAGTGGCCATAGAGATCCTGATGCTCTGAGATGTTTGGGAAAGGATTGTTGTGTGCATGGCTTCCATTTCTTCAACTGATGTAGCCTTCATGGTCAAACTTTCCGATACGCTTTCAAAAACCTGTACACCCAATTCCTGTGACGGTTGTTGCACTGATTTAAATTCTTTTTGATAGGTTTTAATGTTCTTCTTTGGGAGAGGAGCAACATGAAGTTCTGATATAGCCTGTGACTGGATAGACTCTTTTACATCTTTCCCAGAACTTTGCCTATCTAGGGCTTGCACTGTGTAATCAAGTAACAAAAATAACAATATTAGTATCTGAAGAACTTTACTGGGCCATGCTCTGAACAAAATCGAACAGCATGGAGGATGAAAATGAATGATCTTCATTTGAAAACTCAACATGCCAGATGCACTATGCTCTTGACACAAAAATTATCCATTCACATATATGAATAACAAGTGATGTCTAGCTAGACATGCAGTTGATACACAGTTGATGCTCGTCTCTTCTTTCACTGAAGTTTTCCATTTTAGTATTGGAAACTTATTATGGAACTTTTTAGGGAGGTATTTTCTTCTTTTTATTTCCTACAGGATAGCGCAAAATACCTCAGTCAATGCTATAAAGATCACTTAATTACTTGTTTTAAAAATCTGAATGTCTTCAGTAAAATGATTCTATTCTTCGACCTATATCAAGATACGAATTTGCAAATTTTCAAATGTTACAGCTTAAACAGAAGAAATGAGAGTGTCTGGGTTACAGAGAGTAGGTACTACTAACATTAGCTGGTAAAGAAAAGGTGTGACACAAGGAAAGAAGAACATTAGTAACAGCGTAAAAGTGTGGTATACAACAAACTGAATCCCTTTGAAGTAAAAATGGGGCTTTACCTTCTGCAGTCACTGTAAGTGTAGCTGTACAAGTTGTTTCTCCAGCACTATTTCTTGCCTTGCAAGAGTATTGGCCAGCATGCTCTAAGAAAGCATCTACTATTATCAGTATAGCTGTGCCTGTAGACTCATCAAAGTGGAAAACTAAGTCTTTTGTTGGCAACATGAGTTGTTGATTATGAAACCACTGGATTTTTGGTTTGGGCATGCCAGAGACTCTAGCTTGAAATCTGACTGATTCCCCGCTGCATACCCTGCAGCTTGAAATAGGCTGGATAAAGGTGGGCCTTTGGCCAATAGACTCCTCCTTAAGTGAAACAGATGAAGAAACATGCCAATGGGACTCTGATGTAACTTCTTCAACCTTTTTACATCCTGAAAAGAAGCATGCCAACTTTTAATTTCTTACCCTACACTACAATAAATTTTCTCTCTCATTCAACTTTTTTTTTCTAACTTGCAACTTAACAGCATGAATTATCCTAATTAATCATTTATAAAATCTGTTGCAAAAAGAAAACAAAATATTTATGGTTAAATAATATCAAGGACAATATAGAACTTAAATAGCAAATTCTCCAGACAAGATTTCTGCTCTAAAACTTTGGTCAGTGTTTCATCTATTCATATGAATGTAAACTATTTATTTTCAGCTGCCCAAGTACCTAGTACACACCTCTATTTAACATGTTTTCCAACACTTTCAAAGTAATTTATTTTATACAAAACCCCTTACTAGATTCTCCTCACAGTCAAACCAAAGAATGTGTAGGCAAAGCACTTCCACAGAAAGAAGGTTTCTACCATGTTTGGTGCATGACAGATTCTAACACTGGGGAGAATGAAAGGGTGAGGTGCATGGAACACTGAAAAACTGTGAAATAAGTTTTCCTGTGCACGACCTGTATTTTGGAGACATAGATGTATGCTGTGGACATTGTAAATGGTAGCAATTAATTGAGTTAAAAGACAACATGACAGACAATGACTCACATATAATCATCAGTTTATAATAAGATTAGTATTGGAACATGACCTAAACAAGACACCTTCTTTAATTGCACACTGTACCTTCTAATTTCAAGGTAGCAGTGCTTGTCACTTGGCCTACAGAATTACTAGCCACAAAGGTATAGATCCCTTCATCCTCTGGATAAGCTTCAGCAATCTCCAGCTGGTAAGTGTCTTCAAACTGAGTCATTCTAAAAAAACGTGACGGCTTGATCTCTCTCTCTTTGCTGTACCAAGAGACTTTCAGATCTGCTCAAGCAACAGAAAGAAGAAAAAATGTGTAAGTTATGATATTAGACTAGTAAGTAAACACTATTTTTATATTTATATCTGTCAGAAATCTTAATCTCAAGTATCTTTTTTTGAGTTTAAATGTACCTTGTATTACTTTGGTAATGTATGATCAGTGGAAAGTGGCCTACTTGTTGCTTTAAGTTTTGATTTCTGCATTGAAAATATTTGTATGGGAAAATGATTCTGGTGCTGCTATATTCCTGAGTAAAAATAATTTTTCCTTTCCCCTCTTAATGTATAAATTTGAAAATATTTTGCTACTACTAAAATCAGAGAAAGTCTCATATTTAAAAAGGGATTCTGCTACAATTGCCTGATTAAACAGGCTACAAAATCACTAGGTTGAGCTGAAGAGGTTAAAGAAATTAAAATGGAATATCCTTTTGCTTGCCTCTTTTTGTTGCAAATATTATGTTTTACACCTCATATTTCTCAAGAAAGATCCTGTCTTTGTACCTTTGTAAAATTCCTATATAAAATGTTGTGTTACTTGTCTTGTATAGATTCTTGTAGACTTGGGAAAGAAGAAGACTGAAGCAGACTTTAACCTTGCCTCTCCACCTGGCACTGTATTACATCATGAATCAAATGTTTTCACACAAATAGTGTGCTATTACTGTCATCAGAAGAAAGAGAGAGTGTTTTCAATAGCCAGCTGCATAGTGTGTACCATTAAACAACTGTATTTGCAATCATGTATTACCTAACCTACTATAAAAGGTTTTCACAAGTAAGAAGTATGCAAATCCATTTGAATACAGTATTCAATAAAGGAAATTCTCAATAGGAAAAATTTCTTCACTGAAAGGATTGTCAAGCATTGGAACAGGCTGCCCAGGGAAGTGGTCGAGTCACCATCCCTGGAGGTATTTAAAAGATGTATAGACGTGGTGCTTAGGGACATGGTTTAGTGGTGGACTTGGCAGTGTTAGGTTTATGGCTGGACTTGATGATCTTAAAGGTCTTTTCCAACTGAAACCATTCTATGATTCTATGAAAGGGGACCTAGATGAAAGGATCCTTATGCTCTGTGCTGTAAATGCACCTTCCACATTCACATAAATACAGTTCTTGTAAAAAAAGTTACATTAGCATGCTTTGCACAGAGGGCAGGCAAGTCTTTCCAACATATATTTTCTGAATTTTAGCACCACTTCTAAAGCAATCAGATTTGTTGTAAAGATTTTTTTAAAAAATTTGGAGTTTGATTTCAAGTGATGGAAATGCAAATTATATATATTTGTGTATATATATATATTACCAGTTTTATGTGGACTTTTACACAGCTATCACTCAGGATTGTTTTTAAATTTGGAGTTTTATTTATCTTTAAATAATTGTAAGTTCTTTGGGATTGGAACTGGATCTTATTCTGTAGTTTGCCATGTAAATATTTTATTACTAGTCATACACAAGGCCATTCATTGAAGTGAAAAAAGGTAGTTTTATTTGGTTTTGTGTTAACTTGGAAAGAATTACTTTAATTGTAGAATGATATTCTATGTAACTAAAACTAACAAACTCATTTAAGGAAAATCTACAGTTAAAAAGACAATGAGCAAACACCTTTTTATGCTAGGAAAAAGAATGCAATTGCAGTTTACTGTTTGCAGAGTGATACAAGATACTTAGGGATATTAGGATAAAGGTTGAGACACAGTTTCAGTCTGTTTGTTTAGTTAATTGACATGACACTGTGTGTCATCAGAAACTTTGTCATGTTCATTTAACGTGATAATGCTTTTCCACCATGATACTCAGTGTTTTGAAACTCTGCATTTTACTCACTGACAGTTTTCCAACATCAGTTAGCATTTGAAATGCTGAGAAGTTTCCAAAGACAAATTTTTGAAACAGACCTTCTTTTTAGAAATGCTTAATGTTTATGATGGTTTATAACTTCCATGCTTGATGCCATCTTTGACATATTACTTGCTTAACTGATAATTGTCAGTGAGTAACACTTTGCTGTGTGCGTATATCCAATAACTGTACTTCTAGGGATCCATATACACTACTGCATTTTTTCTGAGTTCAAGATGAAAAATTCTGAGAGATGAAAAGATGTACAGGATTTCATTAAACCCACCTGTCCCTGTCGCTCTGCACTGAAAACGAGCAGACTGTCCCTCGGACGTAACAGCATCACGTAGTGGTATTATGACAGCAGGTGGATACACTGGCACTTCTAGCTCAGGAGAAACAACTTCTGGGACTAAAGGATAAGAAAAAGAAATCATTTTTAAAGATTAAGAAGATCACACACATGTTGACAATCTCATTTCACAGACATTGTTATGAGCACGGGAAACTCACTTTCCACAGAAAGCGAAGCTGAAGTTGTAGCAACTCCGTAGTCATTTTTTGCTTCACAGGTGTACACTGCTGCATCTTCAGGGAAAGTTTCAATCAGCAATAGAGTATATTCTTGTGCATCATGAAGAAATTTGCACTTGAAACCTGGAGAAAGCTGTTGATCATCTTTGTACCAGGAAATTTTGGGCTGGGGTTTGCCTGATATCATAGCACAGAAGCGGGCAGGTTTGCCAGACTCCACAGTGGTTGGCTCTAGCTCCTGAATAATCTGAGGTGGCTCTGGAGCTGCAAATTGGGGGGGGGGGGGGAGGGGAGGGAGGGGGGAGGAAGGGGAGAAAGAAGGAGAGAGAGAAATCTCATTATTGATATTGATCAAGGCTTAAAAAATATTAGCAATTATTTTTTTTTTTAATCTTATTATTCCCAATCTTGCATGCCCATAAAAATCTGCCCTTTTCCTTGATTCAGGGGAAATGATCTAGCAGCAAGCGCCTTAACATAATTAGCTGTGTTGACGTAAGTGTTTCCTGGCAAAATGTGTCCAAGAATTGTTAGGTTGATCCCTCTGGCAAGGCATATTTGTCCATATGAACAAATCAGTTTTATTTGGACTTGAGAATTTCCTGGTCTAAATAAATACAGTGGGGAAAAGAACTGCTATAACATTTTCATCAGATAGTCAGCTATTTCAGTAGAGCAAGAAACATCCTTGTACAAATCAGAAAAACACAGGGTAATAAATACACTCAAAGCATTGTTTGCGGGGACACACACCATTCACATAGAGAACAACAGAACTCCTATTGCGTCCTGCAACAAAAGTATATTCTCCAGCATCAGAGTAAGTGGTTTCAAAGATGCTCATTCGATGAACTCTCCTTTCCACCACATAACTGTATCTTTCCTCATATTGGAAGTTGATCTCAATACCGTCCTTGTACCACTGTGGTTCAATGTCATCTTCATTGACTTCAAATTCAATTTCAGCTCTTTGTCTCTGAATGACCTTTGAAAAAGTAGAATAAATATTAGAAATAGCATTTGTTTTGACAGATGGTCCCACATTCCAGTTTCCTAGAAGAAGGCCTTGACCTTATGATTACAGATTTTTGCGTTAGGACTCTTGCTAGTTAGATATTGTTGCTCTTCCTTTCCATTATTCTTTGAGTGACAAACTTATGAAATATTTATTCTTCTGCATAGGCCATACCTGAATATCTTTACGGACGCTTCTGATACGAATGTCACGACCTTCCACTGTCAAATTAGCACTGGATGTGTTTCCACCTGCTACTACAGTGTACTGACCAGCATCAGACATTCTTGTGGAAGGAATGATGAGACGATGGACATATTTCTCTCTCTGAATTTTCATCCTAAGGACATCAGAAAAGAAAATGAGCAAGTTATTTCCTGGGGGAAAATACATAACAAAAGTCAATATGGTGTAGAAGCAACCATTTACCTGTCACCAATCTGGAGTTCTTGTCCATCCTTCATCCACTGGACCTGAATGTCAGGTTCTGAAATTTCACATTCAAAAATAGCCCTCTTCTTCTCCACAACCTTGATGTCTTTAATATGCTTCCTAAACTCAATGTGACGAGCTAGGGCAGAAAAAAAGCAGAATGAGTGCCATGATGCTATTTAAGCCACTAGAAGTCACTAAATATACAAATCAAGAGGGCAAATACCTTCCACATATAAAGTGGCTGATGAAGCTGCTTTTCCAGCAACAAAAGTATATTCTGCAGCATCACCAAAATGCACATTCCTTATGGAGAGGGAGTGTGTGAGCTTCTTTGTTCGTATCTGGCATTTATCAGTCGATTTTATTTCTACCCCATTCTTT